GGGGGGGATAGGGATAGGGATGCGATCAGGATCCACCTCCTAGTTGGAATGGGCCAATAGAGGCAGTACATGGAGGGGATCTCTCGGGGACGACGGGGAGGAAGTGGGGGTAGGTAACGATTCATCCCTTCTACCGTCACCGGAAGCTCCTCATATCGGATGATCCGGTGGAAGTGAGGGAAGTGATCGCCGCTGCGAGGGAGGGAAGCGAGGTAATAGCGATAGAAGGATGAGAGGTGAGGAGAAGCGTCGCTCGAAAGAACTCGTAGTGGCGGCAGGCGGGGATTGTCCCCGTGGCTACGTAGTAGACTTCTACCACGTTGCATCGTTCCCATGCAGCGCTGAACAGCAGGATATGCCAGCAAAACGTGGGGGCAGCGGGCTGAAGGGATGCGTGGGGGTGGACGGTAGCGAGTAAGCGGGTAGAATAGAAGTCGCGGAAGAGATGAGGGAGGAAGGGATGAAGGGGGAAGGTGACGGGGGTGCGGATTTGTTCGAGGGTGAGAAAATCAAGGGGTCGGCGGGATAGCGTCCGAGGACGAAGGCCTATCGCCCGCATCGGTCATGGTACGTGGGCGAACTGGGGGACGGGTGGGGCTGGAGGAGGAGGGGGATCGGCTCCGTCGCCGTCGTACGGTGCTTGAGGTGGCAGCTGCTGCGTCGCCATCTTCGGGCTTCGGGATCCCTGGTCGGAATGTTGTCGATGCGCAAGCTGGCTCCACTGGCGAACTCCAGCTGGCGTTTCCCGGTGGCAATTTCTTCGTGCCTTCGCGCTGCCTCTGGATCTTCCGCCTCCGTGCCCGTGCGCGCAGCTTCCTCTGGCAAAGCTTCCCACTCAGACTCGGTTCCTTCTTCTCCCTCCTCTTCTTCTTCTTCTTCACTCAGCTCGCCCTCGCTATACTCCCTATAGCTTCCCTCCTCGGACGTTTCCTCGTCGTTGTCTTCTTCGTCGTCGTCGACCACCACTTCCTCCGCCTTCGGGATGATGTCGTACGGCTTCAGATACTCCTGCCGAGATGGTAGGGTATCTTTGTCTCTGGGCTCCTCTAAGCACGCAGTCCAATGAATGTACGGGGCAGGGTTGTCGTCGCTTTGCGAATAGATGTCGGGCGAGAGGTCGTCCGCCAATTGCACGATCGGCGCGATGAGCTCCTGCGCGATCAACTGGTGGAGCCCCAGTTGTACCGATCCAAAGAGAAAGCCAAGAAGATCGACTTCCACGTTAGTCCTCCAAGTTTGGATGATCAGCAGCTCCGGATTTCCGATCCACGGACGATGCTCGTTGGTCTGCGTCCACGTCACCTGTACTTTGGCCAAGCAGAAAGACAACTCATCAAAAGTTTCGCGCCATAACCGCCAATGCCCAGGATTGATAAGAGGGACTGAAAGAGGCTCGAACGAGAAGGAAAGAGAAGGATGAAGATCGGATTGCCAGAAGGTGGGGAAAAGAGAGGGGAGACCGAAGATAGAGAGAGGAGAGAGAGGATCGGCGTGGTTCATTGGGGACGTGGGAAGGGGATGAGGAAGGGGATCGCAACTGGCCGCTCGCGCGAAGAACGGCGGATGTCGCCAAGATGCGGTGCAAAGATCGGGGTGAGGTTATACCCAGGTCGGGCGAGGACGTGCTGCCACACGTTGGACACCTGCTCCGTCCACTCGCACAGCGAGGTCAAGATCGCGGTATGCCACTGCGGATTGACCGAGCTGATGTCGCCGCTGAACGCCACAACTGTGGTGACGTGGCTCGTTCTGGGAGCCGCTCGCCGATGAACTGCGATTACCTCCACAAATACCACTGCGTGAGGACTCCCTTCGATTCGAAACGCGGCGGCGGCGCACACACCCACGTCGCAGAAAAATTGCGCCAAACGTCGAAGATCCGTATTGAGCCGCGGGTGACAAACTTGCCGAATCTCTGAGATGTGGCCAGGTGGCTGCAACAGCTGTTCGTCAAGAGCCCCCTCCATGATGAAACTCATGGCGAGGTCGGAGAGGAGGACGAAGGACAGGAGGGAGAGGGCGGAGAGAGAGTTAGATCGTCGTCGTTCTCCTCGCTTTTCGAGGAAGAAGAGGGAGGAAGGTCAGAAGGAGGAAGAAGACAGAGGTAGGAGGTATGCCGGACGATGGGGACAGAGCTATGGTTGGCACAAGCCTCAGGCGCGATGCGCACCGTGTTGGGGCCGTTAGGACCGAGCTCGACAACGAGAAAGCAACCAGGTCCCCTAATTTGCGGTCGCGTGCACATTTATGTACCTGCACTAGGTCCCCTAATTTATATTGATGTTGGGGCCCAACATTTCCGTTTCGAGCCTTGTAGCTACGGACCTGCCTACCGTGGGCCAGATCGGTCATCCTTTGTTTTTTTTGGGCCAGCTTCGGAACAGCTCACTCCATTAATTCGGTGTACCTTTTGGCTTTGGCCTTGAGGGCTGTACGCGTGTCTCTACCCCCTGGTTCGGCAATTTCTAAGTTACCCCCGTAGTCGACACAGGGGAGGCTATTAGTACGAAGCTGAAAAGGGGTAAACCCCGTGGATTGGTGAGGGGTGGCCCGGTGGATCCCGACGATCTGATATACGATCTTGGGCCACGGACGCGTGTCGTGTGCCGCTAAATTCCTATGAAGGGCGGTTTTAATCATACGGTTGGCGTTCTCAGCTAACCCGTTCGACTGGGACACGTGGGGTGCCGTATGTCGGAGCGTGACGCCCCTTCGTGCGAGCAGTTCCTCTACTTCTCCCTTAAATTCGGACCCATTGTCGGTTCGAATTTCTTCCGTATCTAGATGGGTATAGAGGAACCGATCGATGTACGTGGCTATTTCTGCGGCTTTGTTGGTCTTGCAGGGGTAAACTTCGATGTACTTGGAAAAATGGTCAATTAATACTAAAAGGATAGAATATTCACAGCGGTTTGGGCCAGGTGGCATATCGATATCTGTCGTGTCCATACTGACTCGATGGAAAGGACGCTCTACTTCCGTTGGTACTATCGTGTTTGGTCCCCGAATTGGGACACGATCAGCGGCACAGACCACACAGTTGGCGACAATGTATTTGACATCATCTCGTATGTTGGACCAGAACCGATGGTTCTGGTCTACAGTTGCCTTTGTGACACGTATCGCGAAATGAGCGGTCTGTTCTTCGTGAGCAGATCGGATCCAATCATATCTCTGGAATGGATGGGGAACCGTCAACCACGAACCCGATCCGTCAGTTTTACGCTTTTCCAAATGACCGTTGATCCGTCGATAGTCCCGAGATCTCTCGGTCGCCCTACGTCTGTCGTGTTTGGTGAGGTGACCCAATGATAATCCCGCTAATTTCTCCAATAAAATTTTATCCGTCCAAACCTCCGCTCGTCGGTATTTTTCGTCGTATTCAGGGTCGTCCGTACGGGCGGCTTCGAATCGAACCTCCGTGGGGAGTTTGTTCGTTCTACACAGGGGCCACCTCCATTCCTTGCTACTCGTCCGATATCGAACGCAGGCCCCGTGCACACGATTGACACACGTGGCACATTCTACCTAGTCGACAAACCCGGTTTCGAAAGGATGACAGTCGACTCCATAAACTCGTGCAATGCACGTGCAAAAATAACAGAATTTATCGGGGAGGGTGGCAAAGAAAGCTGAGGACGTGAGAGGGGCATAATTAGTAGGGGATGAAGGGTTTGCGGAGGCAGGTGGGGTACTCATAATGACAGAGGAGGAAGGGACGTGACTGTATTGCAGAGAGGGTAGAACAGACAAATTAGTCCTCGTGTCGCTTACTGCTTTGATAAGATCTCCACTTGGCCGTATCGAGGTCCAATCTCCTGTTCGGGTTCGTTCCACGGAATCACCTCCTCACCCTTCGGAACTTTCTCAGGCCGGTGCAGTCGTGTCAGTCCGTCCGCATTCCCGTGTCTCTCGTGCTTCAGCTGACGAATGTCAAAATCCATGCTCTGCAGCACCGTTGCCCACCGCCCGATCATGATCGAGTAATCCTTCGATTTCTTCAGAGCCAACAGGGGCTCATGATTAGTTACCTGGGTGAACTTTCGCCCATACAGGTAAGCGCAAAAGTGACAAATTCCCCTGAGAGCCGCGTAGCATTCTCCCGTTGGAGCGGCGTGGTTGCGTTTGCAGGCGGGCACCGATTTAGACGCATACTCCACCACACTCTCGAGTCCGCTTGGTCCCACCTGGGCAAGGATCGCCAAAATTGCCTCTGGCTGCCAGTCAGTGATGAAAACAAAAGTTTTTTTGGGATCCGGTCTTATAAGGATCGAAGCCGAAATGAGAGCGGCCTTGAGTTTGGAAAACGCTTGATTGCACCCCGACGTCCAGATCAACGGCTGATCTTTGCGCAGCAGATTTGTGAGGGGTCCCGGAATCGATGCGAAGCCCTTGATGAATCTTCGGTAGTAAGAGGCCAGGCCCAAAAAGACGAGAACTTGTGTGATAGTTGTAGGCACCGGCGCATCCCTGACAGTTGCCACCTTCTGCGGCTCCGGTTGGAATCCCTTGTCTGTCACCACGTGTCCCAAGAAGGAAATGGTGGTAAGAAAAAACTGACACTTCTCAAGCGCCACTTTGAAACCCGCATCTCGTAATGCGTGCAGTGCCCATTCGATGTGCTGCACGTGTCCCTCGTAGGAGCTCGAGTACACCAAGATGTCATCCATGTACACAATCACGCAGTAGTTTATGATGCTCTGCGCCAAACGAGTCTTCCGCACGAAATTCTGAAAAGCCATGTTCATGGCTCGCTGAAAGGTCGTGGGGGCGTTGCAGACACCCATCGGACATGGGACCCACTACCACGTACCTTCGAAAAACACAAATGCCGTCTTCGGACGATCTTCTTCTCGAACAAGAAGATGATGGAACCCATGGCGGACATCAAACTTACTGAAAAATCGAGCACTCCCAATCGCATCCAGCAACTCATCAATCCGGGGGAGGGGGTACACATCCTTGATCGTGAGATCATTCAATTTTCGATAATCAATACAAATGCGAATCCCTCCGGCCTTTTGAGGCACAATTACTACAGGAAAAGGACCATGCACCTATAGCGGGTTCGATCCATCCATTAACTTCGAATTCCTTAATCCGCTGAAAAGCGGCCACTCGTTCAGCTGGCGAGTATCGGTAAGGAGCGCAGCTAATGGGCGGATGTTCTCCCGTGAGGATGGCATGCTCGATCACGTTAGTCAAGCCGATATCATTATCATGCACGCTCAGCACTTCTGCATAACCATTCAAGATATCGATTAGTGATTTTCGAAGTTCCGTGGGGACGTGGCTTGGTAGGGTGATTGTTGATTCCCCAGGGGTCTTAAGGGGTATATCGATCCAATCAACCGATCGCTCCCTTCGATCGTAAATACTGGAAAAGACAGAACTGCTGGTGTGAACAGAAAAGACAGTCGCAATCATCCGTGATTCGGCGGGACTGATCATTTCGGTTTCTTTAGTTTCGACGTCAGTTTCTGAATCGGTCGAAATCTGCTCCACAGTCAGTCCTGTTAGATCCGTCATCTCTTGCATTAGATCAGGCACGTCATCTACCGGTGCTTATGCCTTCTGTTTAATAGATGGTCGCCCCGGTTGTTAATAACGATCGGGGCGGAAAAACAGAAACGTCTAGATACTGTTCCGTTTGTTAATAACAAGTTCGTAAGGAAAGAGCTTCCTCGTAGAGGGTACGAGGGGGTTCCAAATCATCAGCCAGGTCAGATACTTATAATATGGGTTCCCCGAGGAGGACTGAAGGACTGACCTGGGCTTTCGTAGGCGCAAGCGTGTTCTCCTGAATCCATGTGGAAGCTTCGGGCTGTAACGGGGCACACTTGAAATTCTTCGGGAATTTCGTGTTCAAAAAGCTCGACCAGGTGCTTCCATTCATCCTCACTAGGCAGTTCTTCTTCGTATTCCTGCTCCCTGATTTCATTGCCTATGTCCGAGGAGGAATAATCCTCGGGGTCAATGCTTCGAATCATCCCTATTTGAGCCGAGTTAGAAGTTCGTTTTATCGTTCTGGTAAAAATTCGCAAAGGAACAGTTTGAGGTTTTCCCCCAGTTTGCGTGAGCACCAGTTGCTTGGAATCAAAATGCAAACGTGCGCCCACCGCCATCGCCCAAGGTAATCCCAACAACACGGAATAGGAACGCATATCTATCACGAGCGCGTTGACGAGGACGTGCACTCGTCCAACCTTTACAGCCACATTCTTAATAACGCCTACGATGTTCATTGCTTCCTCGTTGGCTGAGACATAATTGTCTTTGCCAGATTGAGGAAGAATGGATCTGAGACGTCCCGTCTTTCTGACAGTGTCTAATGATATGGCTAATGCTGAAGACCCTGTGTCGATAAAGGCGTTAAACGGCTTGCCCCAAACTTCACAATCACATTCCGCACTTTTCCACAGTACCGGCCGAGCTCGTATGAAGTGATTTTTTTTTTCTGCTAAAGAGATCGCTGCTATACGCACGGCCTCATGTTCGCCGGCCTCAGGTTCGGGCGGTGCAACTTCCTCGTCCCCTTCCTTCTTCTTCAACATTCGCTGTATGCGCTGATAGGTGAAGCGCTTTTGATTTTTCTGGCAATGTTGCAAAAGTTTATCATTTGTTGCTTTAGATATGGTGAGCAGATGTCCCACCGGGATCGGAACACGAATATCCAATTGCTTGAGTGCTCGTAACACATCGATTTCTCCTGTCCGAAACTGCGGACCAAGAGTGGATTCACGATCGGCCCATTCAAGATCATCAGGGGCCGATCAGTTCGCTCCGACCATGCCTGCAAGATGAAGATATTCGAGTGGGTCGACCACGTCAGCAGCGTCAGAGGAAGATGTTCTCGCTGTCGACGCCATTGCCGTAGAGGGGGAAAGTTGTTCCGGGGCGTATGCTACGAGTTCTCCTCCCTGGGCCGTATCCATCAAAGCGGTCATTCGTCCTTGATTTAGGGCCACAGGGGCAGCCGCAGGTGGGGGCTGACTACGTTTTGGCTGTGGGCAGTCTCGGGCGAAATGTSCGGGCTGTTTGCAGTTAAAACACTCGATCTTTCCTGCGGGATTAGCTGGGTGAGGGAACTCATGTGCATACCCTGGTGCAGGCAGGGCAGGCAAGAGTGGAATGACGACGGGGCCAGGTCGAGCAGGAGCCGGGGTAGGCTTAATTAGCCTGCTCATTATCTGCTCCATCCGCTCCATATGAGCGGCCTGCAATTGGATCAAGTTGCTCATCCATTCGGACTGCTTGGTAGTGGTCGTATGGATCATTTGGGCAAGATGTAAATTGGTTATGGCCGGCGAGGGGGGTTCGGGTGAGCTTCCGCTTTTAACTGTCGCGATCGGTTGATTTACCGGGGGAGAGCAAGACGAAACACGCGGGATATCGGAAACGATCCCATCGGGAAGGTCATGGTCGGGGCGGGGATAGAACCGTTCTACCGCTCGCAGCCACGATCGCCTTTTGGCCGCTACATCCCGTATGGTATCTGTAATATCCTCGTCTCCCTGACTGATATATTTTTTTGTATCAGCCAGGTCCAGTTCCGACGCTTTAGCGATGATAACCGATAGCTGGTGTGTCTTCGGCGGGACCTTTTTTTGCAATTTCCCTTTCAACGTCGGACTTCGTAAGTGATCGATGAACAGATCTCGAGCGGAGTTCTCGTCTCGCCCAGATTTATCCAACGTGGTTTGAAATTGATCCACGAAATCGGGCAATAATTACCCTGGTCCTTGTGGCCGAGTTTTGAGCACGTACCAGGCGGCATCTTCACTGACCGTATCCAATCGGGCCAAGAAGGCTTGTTTGAAAGTATTCCAATCTACCCATGTATGCTTTCTAAACCAGTCATGTGACGTATTGCGGAGTAGCAAGGTAAGAACGCGGGGAAGATCACCCGCGCTGTAGCCTTGAGCTTCCACGGCTTCCAACCAAGCCTCAGGATGGGTATGGTTGGGGAGGAAGGGGAAAGGGGCAGGAATGTTGACGATCACTCTAGTACCGTCTGCCATCGGCATGGCGGGTGCAACCACACCAGATTGAGACCTGGTCACTGGGCGATCTCGGCGAGCGGGTAGGGGACTTCTTCTTCTACCTCTCGCCAGTTCGACTTACTATCATCAGAACCGACACGTGTCGGCTCCGATACCAACCTCACGCCCTGTGCTGTCTTCCATTCGGAGTGCTAGATGTGCGGAAAGAGGCCCAGAAAAACAGCAAGATGGGGTGTGCCAAGACAGAAAAAAACTGAGTTCTTTTAAATAACATTTTTTAACTTTTTTGGGTGTGGAATCAGTTATAAATATTGCGTGCACACTATGTCTTAACCTTACAAGGTTAAGTAATCTTCGAAAGAGAAACACACAATTGCAGATGGTTGCTTCAATATTGATAACGTTAATCTCTACCGATAAGCAATAGACTTTGTGTTTGAAACATGTTCGATCGAACATTGAAAAAATGTTAATTTCAATGTTATGCAAACTGTATTTTTTTCTTGAAACATGTTCGATCGAACAATTTCAATCTTTGAAACATGTTCGATCGAACGTTGGAATCAGTTATAAATATTGTTACGTCATTGGACCAATGTTGTGATTACGTACTGCTTGTCGTGTCACAACGTTCATCGCACGTGAGTGGACCGTAGGACAATTGTTAACTATGTGTTCAATGAACACATATAATTACGATTTAAAATCATTGTCCATACTGTTTGATTATTATGATGAATGTTAGCCAAGTCATTTTTTGAACTTCGGCAACACTGTTTTTTTTATCTCGTGAAATGTTATGTAACCTTCACATTACTGTTTGAAAATTTTAACTAGATGTTTGATAAACATTGTAATTTATAAAAAAAAAAAAAAAAAAACTCTTGTGAGTCGGTCATTTAGGCAATACCACTACATCAATAATAATATAATAATCATTTTCAAATAATATGAATAGAGGTCACCATAAACAAATTACTCATGTACTGAATCTAACATTTTTATTTATAAAATATTATAATGTCATTACACGTACTATGTGTATTACCAGTAACATAAGAGATGTCAACATAATGCAAATATTCCATACTATTGAAAAGTAACAATATAACTTACATCATCTTTGTACTGATATTGTTGGCAGTATATGAATATATATGGTTTACAATTATAAGATATAGACGGAGCATGGGCAACACTAAAAAAATGCATAAATACATTCTTCGCAAATACAAAACAAAGTTCTTAAGTAGATCCGCAAAAGACAGCACACATAAAGATAGAAGGTATATTGTTCATCTTAATTTTATATCGACTTTTAGCAGTGCGAGTTCCATCGACTGTGTGTCATAGTAACAGACCAAATTTTGAATACTTTACACTATCATTTTTTTCAATAAAATCATAAAAGAACGACAAATATATATACCAACGAATGTATTAAGAAAATTAATTGTCAAATACACCATTACATTAAGTTTTCGTTGGTCGGTACAACAATTGTTATCATATGCCTCGCTGCAGCATCTACACACTCTAAATGCAATGTTCGTCAGTGGTAGTTTGAGTTGTGAACACGATTTGTACCTAGGACATAGTGTACTACTAATTTAGGAAGACACAAACATAAGAGTCAAATCATAAAGAGATAAGCAAAGTTTATTACTCATGCTCACAAACACGTTAAATAAAACACAAGTTTCATCATCGCGTGGCACCACACCAAACTGTTGTGTTTTGTTCGACTACGAGAAAAGACACTAAAATATATTATTGTA